TGCGCAACCTCTGTCAAAGCGGTGGCTCGGGGTCACAGCGTTAACTCATGCTCGGTGCTGAGGTGCTGATGACGATCTGGACCTCGCCCTAGGGGAAGCATTGGACCGCTTGGGGAGGAGGTGTGGCAGCATCTTTGTTTTAGCGCCTAAATTTCTCGGAGAATGCCTCCACCCCATCTCTGAAGAAACCACGAGGGCTCACAGGAGTGTCGAGCAGTCGTGCCTTCTTTGCGTCCCGCATCTCTGTGAGTTTCAGCCACAAGTGACGATGCAGGACAATGTCCGATTGGCAGCTTGCACTGGGGAACAACCCATCCAACGCTTTGCAGGCTGCTCGGGGACTGCCCAGTCCAGTCCAGTCCCATATGTGTTACAGCCTCGGTGAGAATGCTCTCATGAGCTCTGCGTCCAAAGAGGCAAGGGTGGAGCTAGACTCTTCTGTAACAGCCTCCGACCAGGCACACGGGTCAGAGGCTCTCATAGACATCGTATCGTGCTTCAGACAGAGAGCGGAAACTGTCCTCGGTGTAGGAGAGAAGAAGCTCTGACATGCGAAAGTGACGTGGACATTGGGCCGATGTCAGCTCATCAGCAATGGTGGAGGGTGGGGCAGATGCAGAAGCCAACATGCCACCGTTGTGTACAATGGCAAGCCTCGCACGAAGGATCTTGATTGGAAGGGCCTCACAGGCTCTGCGATCCGATCCTTCAAGTGCCGCCTCAGCGTGGGTGCAGCCCAAGCACAGCACACAGTCCATGTGCGCATCTGGAAACTCGATGGGCACACCACACATGTAGCATCCATGAAGAGACATCTAGGTTTTTTTTTCACCATAACGCAGGAGGGGATTGCTTTCCACGTCGTCCGCTCTTGTCGCGCAGGTCAATGGTGAAACAGGTTCCAGATGAAGGAGAAATATTCTGAGGTAAATTGGCACCCGATATCACCTATATAGCGGCTGAGCCCGCCAATCAGGCGAATACTCGAACACTGTTGGCTATTGCAGAGTAATAGAGTGATTCAATCAGGCTTTAGCATTTTGGAGGAAAAGGATTCCCCATACGTAATGTCAAGAGACTGACTCGATAAGGGAACAGGCAGAGGGACAACAGGGGCAATAGGGACAGAGAATACACTTCACAAAGTCCAAAGACAAATACAGGGAATCTATGACATTTGCAACGTAATATTTCAGGTTGTTTTTATCTGTAATAAATTTGCATCATCACAAATCTGTCATTATAGTGTATGGAATGTAGATTAATGTGAAAAGAAAATGAATCTAAAAGCATAATTTAATAGCGTAAGGCTACAGCATAAAATGTGTGTGTGTGGGGGGGTTAAGGGGTCTGAATACTTTCTGTAGCTAGTTTAATTTATTTATTTAAATATGATTGTTTCAAAGAACAGGGAAGACAATTCAATAGCTGAGTTAGCTTGTGAGTTTCTGAATATGCTATCTATAATACGCCCTATGCGTTAATTTCTCCAATAGTGAAAAACAAAAAAGGAAAAAAAGAGTTTGTGACTTTCTATTGTCTTGTTAGGTTGTATTTGAATTTAGATAGCAATAATGTGCAGTTTGGTTAGAAGTAACACATCAGGTGTAACCCTGTTTCCAGTTGGAGTGGGACCTGGAAAGCTGATTCATACTGTATATTACAATGAGCTGTGCTGAATTGATCGACAGAGGGAAAGAGAGATTATATAAGTAAGTCTGTTACCACTTTCAAAAATGCAGCACAGCAAAAACTATTTCTCAGGGGTTCAGTGGGGAATTCTGCAAATAAGATGGTTTGTGCATGCTGTAATAATCAGTGTGACGGGTATTAATAATTTGCTGGGGTGTTGGGACACTGAACAATAGCCCAGAACAGAAAGATGAATGGTCTAAGGCTCTGAGAACCTGATCAACGAGCAGCCAAAGCAGAATATTAACAGAAGCAGAGACCTCGGAACAGACTGTCCTCTACAGATGCATTTTAAAGGCTTGATTGATACTTCATGTGGGTCCTTGTGTTATGTACAGTAACAAAATCATACAAGTATTGACTCCTAAATCAATGCACAATATTCTTCATAAATATCAGTTTTTCCCTGAGGATCTAAAAAGGAATTTAAGATAAATGCCAACAAATTGTGAGCCTCGTATATTCTTTATTCCAGTAATCATTCATCCATTTGTCTTAGTGATAAAGGAATAGTTCAACCAAAATTAAAATGTAAAATCGTAAATGTAAATATTTTGAAGAATGTCACAAAATGTAAACTGTATTATCGCACAGCTCTGTATACATAAAGTTGGATATATAGCCAACTTTATCCCAGTACATTCACGTAAAGCTATATATATTATATAACAAATAAACTTTTTTTGTAACCATACCCAAATGGATGCACAAAGGAATTATTCATCTCTATCACATATTCTAAACTAATTCATATAATTTAACACACTAGTTCAGAGATATGGGGTTGGGGGAGAGCAGTTTCTCCATTATCAACAAATAAAGTCCGTAGTTAAATCAAAGATTAATATAAATACATCCCTGTCAGTTAATGAAAGAGATAACGAATATCACTACCTCCACAAAATTAATAACCAAACTACATAAACGTATATCAAATACCGATGAAACAATAGCACCACCAATGTCCAAATGGGAAATAGTATTGGCTTTCTCCCCCAGTCTCGACCTCTGGAAGGAAATCTGTAAAAACACCTCTTCTATAACCTTTTCTTCCAAATGGATCTGGCATTTTATTTATTTTGGATATTAGTGATAAACGTTCCATTATTATGGAATCTCTTTGTTTACTTGATGACATCATAGAAGTCAATAATCTCTCAATATAAAAATCCACTCCTCATTTCTCTATCGTCAAGAAAATTATGTTAAACTGGAAATTATATATATATATATATATAGATCTTCTGCTGCAGACCAGAGTTCTATGCCCGAGCCCCTGAGCCACATGCGAGTGCCATCTCTTACCATGGAGTCAGGGTTTGCCAACATACCATCCCAGAGCTAAGGCCAGTTGCCACTTTAATCCCGAGGCCAGAGGCTATCACCAGTCCATCACTGGATCCCTTGGCTTTGCTGCTGGACTCCAGGCCCTTGACTCCACCTTGGCTCTGTGCTCCCTCAGCTCCGCAGGGGCCCATCATCACTAAAGCTCCACCAGGCTCCCCTGTCCCTCTGGCTACACCTTGGTCTCTCGTCACCCTGGTTTCACCACGGACTTCTGGGCTTCTGGCTGCACCTCAGCTCTCCACCCTTTGGGCTCCACCGGGATCCTCCTTCCCTCCGATTCCACCTTGGTCCTCGCTCCCTCTGGCGTTCCCCCATTCTGCCAGTACCTCATCACCCTGGTTTGTTGTCTCTGCAGTTCTGTGGAGAATTCTGCCTGTTCAGTCACCTGTCATTTCTTGCCTTGTATTAGTGATGTGCAAGTATTTATTCTCCTTGCGTATCGTCTCTTAGCGGGTTAAAAGTATCTCAACACCAGTGCAACTGTGACAGAACTGAGGGAAATTAGTACATAGTACATAATTAGCGTGTATATACAGTATCTCACAGAACTGAGTACACCCCTCACATTTTTGTAAATATTTTATATCTTTTCATGTGACAACACTGAAGAAATGACACTTTGCTACAATGTACATTTGTAGCAAACACACATATATATATGTTTAAAATAGATCATGTTTATATCCTATTATTATGCTAATTAAAACAGATTAATATTAGATCCTGAACAAAAACTAAATCTATAAAACTAACCTATTAATATCTTTCTTTCCTTCTTATTTTCTCTCTATTTATTTGATAACCTATGGGATGCAGAACTGTGTTGCACCATAGGGCTTTATGTGAGTGGCTAAACATACTCACCCTTCAGGGTTTGAGAGAGGCTTTGAAAACTGTGTATGAGACACAAACCCATACATTCCAGTACATCGAAATACTATGCCCTGACTGAGCATGCCCTCTTCTTTCACTCTGGTGACACCAAATAGTGGTCTGACCCTGTACCACCTTGGTGTTTCTCTCTCCTGTTTAACTTTACAACTCAATGCTAGCTGAGAGGGTCTATGCAGGTACCACATATGAGTGACTGTTAAATAAGTGTTTCCTATGAAAAATATATGTTATTTATAAGCAGGTGGTATCTGATTTTGGGGTAAAAGTCTTCTGAATGGATTATGAAAACAACATAAAAAGAGTACAACAACTCATTGGCATCTGAACGCATTAAACAATAAATCAACACATAGGTGACATGGGATGTGCAAACGAATACACAGTATGGACCCGTTTATGATTGTTTTACTTCTGTTGGAATATTATGTAGACAGCTGTCGACATAGGCATTAGAAAGAATGGTATTTTGAATATGCAGCCATTGTGCAGGAGTGGAATCGTGCAAGCTATGCCAAAACACAGCATCCTCCATGTAGACATACATTCTAGATCAGAAGTTTTAAGAGTACCACGAGGTCTCTTCAAAATTTGAAAGAAAACATGATTTTACAAAATGTACCTTTAAGGCTTTCAAAGTTGTCAATCAAGTACTTTTAATGTACTTTTTAACAAACTGAACTTGTTTTTATTTTACTTTGTAAAAATAGGTTGGTCATGAGATTATGAATTTTATTGGCAATCTGCCTACATGTCTATCTCCCCTTTGTTGTACCTTCAGTTTAAAAATAGTTTGTACTTAATATATATTGATAAATTTGAATTGAAATCATTTCTCTTCCTGTTTATACCAGTGAGTCAAGCCTTAGACCAGAAGAGGGTTAAATAAGAATCAAACCTCATGGTCTTGACTTTTGTCATGAAATTTAGAAGAATGTGGATTTGGTCTTGACCCTCTTCTGGTTTCGGTCATGACTACAACACCCTCACACAGTATGAATAAATGGGTCTGCATTAACATTTATAGCTGTCTTTATATCTTGACAAGCGGATCATCACACACACACACACACACACACACACACACACACACAAACAAACACACACACAAGTCAGATCTGGAGGTAAAATGTGCTAGGATAGAGTCCTGGTTGGCCCTCAGTGTCCCCTCGGTGCTCTCAACATTCTTTTAGGGCATGGGGCTTTTCCAATGCATCATAGTCTGCAAAAATGGAGAAAAAAGAAGAAGATTTGATACATAACATTCACACAGCACTTCACAATAGGTAGCTAAACTAATACATACTATATAATCAAAAACAGGAGACAGGAAAAATAGAAAAAAGAAAAATTGAAAAATTTGCATTATAATTAAAAGCTACACAAAAATGCCAGGAAAGCATCTTGAAATGCAGTCCTGCACAAGCAAATAGTGAAAGTGTACAAACTTTTTTTTTTTTATACTGGCGGCAATAATAAAAAAAATGTGCTGACTTTGGAATAACATACACATGATCTTTTTGTAGACTCGGCCCCCTGGCCCTGTCTGCAAGTTTTCTTATAGCAGAAGTGTCATCAACAGATTGCAACTGAGCACAGGAACTAAAATGAATTAAAACTAAGGATGAGCATGCCCTGAGGCATAATCGATATGTTTATTGACTGAAATTAATTTAATTAATCCAACATCTCTCTACAGGTATGATTTCAAAAACTGAGTTTCAGGAAAACTTCCCACAGGGAAGGGGAATTCCTCAATCCCTCTGCTTTACCAGTTCAAGGGGTTGATTTCACCTTAGATTACAAACGGTTTGATTCTATGCCAGGCCTACTCTATTTAATTCACCTCACAACTGCTCATACTATGATCTAGTGTACTGCAAATCCATTTTGGTCATTTGTTCAATGCAAATGGAAGAGTTGGGAATTGGGTACTAAGAACATAAGCTTTCTGGAAAGTGATAGGCTCGTTCTACAAATCAGCCATTTGTAAGGAATACTGCACAAAAATATCAAACAAATTTGGAGGTTAAATTAAGAGAGAAAGGCTATTTTAAGATTGGATCCAATAGTGGTCCATCCAAATTTTTTGCTAATACATGACTTAGAACAGTTTTTTTTTTCATAACAGAGTACACAGCACAAACCACGTGGAATATGATTTTTCAATTCAATCAGATTTGGGCCACTTCCATATGTTTTCCTAAATCCAATACAATAAATCCAAGTCTGAAGTTTTTCAATATGACCTCAGTCTGAACAGTCATATTGGGAATCATGTGAAATACATCACTTTAGATCAGTCACAATTCTGCTTTACAGGAGTATGGTATCAATTTGAAGCCAAATGTATTATGATTAGAGAATTAAAGATGTACGTGATTCATAAAACTGAAGACACATGAAGAAAATATTTACAACAAAAAAAGAAAAAAAGAAAAGCAAAATTATCAGAATTTTGAGCAAAATAATGTTTTCTTTTTCTATAGTAATCTGTTCTTTGCTTGTGATTCCAAATGTTGAGCTTTGAGTTTCATGCAGTGCAGTTTGGGTTTAACGTCTCCATTGGTCCCCTATTTATAGATTGAAGGTTCTTCCTAGCCAATAAACCAGTGTGGGGAGTGACGTCCGTACTGGGCAACTCTGACTTACTATGATGTGAATTTGTCTATATAGCTTCATTTGAGTTGAAACTTTCACCTTTTCTGATTTATATAAGAGCTGAAGAGCCTCAAATTGCATTTACAGGCTCAAAGACATAGTTTGCCTTTGTCACCTAAATTCATCTACAAACATATATATTTTAAGACTTTTTAAGGCCTTATATTATGAAAACGTTATTTAAGACATTTTAAGACTTTTTAAGGACCCGCGGACACCCTGATATATACAAACAGCTATACTTCAGTGCTTCAGTTGTACTTAAGTGAAAATGTATAAAACAATTTTATAGGAGATAATTTACTGTACTGCTACTTTCATTTTTGGTGTGAGAAGGATCCAACATTATAAAATAAACATGAATTAATTAAAATAATCACTATGATATACATAAAAATAATCACTATAAACTTATCATGAAACATCATAGGTTATATGTTCTGCTAGTTTTAGTAAAATCTGGGATCCCCAAATACGCCACAACTTTAATCACATGACAAAAGTGTGTAGTTGTCTAATGATGAAAGACCACAGCAATTTATTTATGGCCCTTTGCTTAATCTGCTAATGAGAAATTATTCTAATTGATATCAATAATAGACACTAAATCAGGTCATAACGTCATGCTATGTTTTCCACTAATATCGAGTTATTTAGGAACTTTTACTAGCTCTGAGAAAATATAAAATAGACAAATGTGTATCACTGACATTTTCTAGATATATTGATTACCTGTAATTGTACGGCAATCCAATTATCTGTCAGCTGTCCACATTCATCTATTCAGCTCATGTGATCACTAGGAAGCCAAAGTCACATGGTAGTCATGTCACTGCCCACACTGATTTATTGGCTAGGAAGAACTGTCATTTAGGGCTGTGCGATTAATCAAAATCTTAATAAAATTGCCATGTGAACACATGCACGATTTCTCCACCAACCCCCTTACAGTGCATGTCCACTGAGGTGGTGCAAGTGAGTGAAGCAGAGCGAGCATTTGCAGTTCATTCCTATGGGAGTTGTGCTTCTCGCCTGCGCTGAGAAAGTGTTGAGAGTGGCCAAAGGGTCAGGGATGCTCAACTTTATGCAAATAGCAAGCAAAAAACATCAGGCGGCAGCCAATTTTTGTGTGAAGCAGTAGTGACATTTGTCACCAGTGTTTAAAATATGCTGATTAAGTTCTTAAATTATATTGTTTACACATTGGATGTAGTTGTTGTATGCATGTTAAATATTGCAGTTAAATATTGGACGTGTATTTCATTGTGAATTGGCAAGCTTTGTTTATTGTTTATTGAAATCACACTGCATTTTTACTTTGGGCATTCAGAAAAGTTTGCATCTTTCCAACTGTACTGTATGTATGATGATTATATTGGTCACTTATAAGATCACTCCTTAAGATCCACCAGGCCAGAATGAAGTGCTTGTCTGGTACACAAGTGATGCAACGCACAGGTCAAGTACCTGGTGAGACGCAGGAGGAGCCCGGCCCGGAGTCACCCCACAGTGCCCAGACCCTCCACGCACCACTAGATCGTTTCCAAGCCAGGCTTTCAGAACAGCGTCAGGTTAAGTGGCCCGCCGCTAATAAGGAAAATGAGTGGCACCACTTTGATGAGGATGTGGACAAGATTCTCCAAGTAACAGCCAGAGGGGATGCTGACCAGAGGTTGCAAGCAATGTGCTCAATAATTATCAACATAGCTGCTGAGAGATTTGGCCTGAAGGAGCAGCGTCCATCTAGTGGTGTTTCGGGACCAAATCATCAGCAGGAGAAGATCCGACAGTTGAGGCAGGAGCTCTGTGTGCTTAGAAGGCAGTTCAAGCAGGCAAATGAGGAGGATAAAGCTGCCCTGGCTGAGCTCCGGAACATCGTAAGGAGTAAGCTCACTTTCACCCTTCGAGCGGAGTGGCACAGAAAGAGGGGCAAGGAGAGGGCTCGCAGATGGGCAGAGTTTGTCGCAAATCCCATCGGATTCACCAGGAGACTCCTCGGGCAGAAGCGTAGCGGTCGACTCTCCTGCACTCAAGATGAGGTTGATAAGTACCTCAGCACCAATTACAGTGATAGAACAAGAGATCAGGAACTTGGACCGTGTAGCACGTTGACAACCCCACCGTAACCCAGTGTGGCATTTAACCTCAAGGACCCAACCTTGAGAGAGGTTCAGGAGGTTGTCAAAGCAGCTAGGACGAACTCAGCACCAGGTCCAAGTGGAGTGCCCTACGCGGTCCTTCAGCGCCTATGGAAAATCATCAAAGTCATCTGGAGGAGGGGAAAAGTGGCGCAGCAGTGGAGACATGCAGAGGGTGTCTGGATTCCGAAGGAGGAGAACTCAAGTAGCATAGAGCAGATCAGGGTCGATATTTTTTAGTATCGTTGCCCAATGCATGACAGAGTTTCTCCTGCAGAATGAATACATTGACACCGCTGTTCAGAAAGGTGGGATCCCGAGAGTGCCAGGCTGTATAGAGCACACAGGAGTTATCACCCAGCTAATCCGGGAGGCTCGAGAAGGTGACGGGGACCTTGGCAGTGCTGTGGCTCGACCTTGCCAACACTTATGGGTCAATCCCGCACAAGCTGGTGGAAACCTCACTGATCCGACATCATGTTCCAGATTGAATCAGGGACCTCATTTTGAACTATTACAGCTGCTTTAATTTGAGAGTCACCTCTGGATCAATAATATCAGCATTTCATAGGCTGGAGAAAGGAATAATCACAGGGTGTACTATCTCTGTGATCTTGTTCGCAATGGCTATGAACATGCTAGTTAAGTCAGCAGAGGTGGAATGCAGAGGCCCACTTACCCGGTCAGGTGTGCGACAGCCCCCTATCAGAGCGTTTATGGACGATCTGACGGTAACCACAACATCCGTACCAGGCTGCAGATGGATCCTCCAAGGCCTTGAACACCTCATCAGTTGGGCCCAAATGGACTTTAAGCCAGCCAAGTCCCGATCCCTTGTGGTGAGGAAGGGAAACGTAACCGATAAGTTCAGTTTCTCCCTCCTCGGAGTACAAATTCCGTCAATCACAGAGAAGGCAGTTAAGAGCCTGGGAAAAGTCTTCAACAACACACTTAGGGACACAGCCACCCTCCGTGAAACTGGGAAGGAGTTGCACACCTGGATTGCTGCAGTGGACAAGTCAGGGCTGCCAGGAAAGTTCAAAGCCTGGATTTACCAGCATGGAATTTTTTTGCGACTCCTCTGGCCACTGCTGGTCTATGACATCCCCCTAACCACTGTCGAGGGCTTCGAGAGGAAGATCAGCCACTCTCTACGTAGGTGGTTGGGTCTCCTACGTAGTATCACCAGCATAGCCCTATACGGAAGGAAGAACAAGCTACAACTCCCCTTCAGTGGCCTATCAGAGGAGTTTATGGTTTCCCGAGCAAGAGAGGTACTGCTATACAGAGAATCCAATGACACCAAAGTTTCCTCAGCTGGCATCGAGGTGAGGACAGGTAGGAAGTGGAGGGCCCAGGAGGCAGTCGACCAGGCTGAAGCATGGCTGCGGCACAGTGTGCTGGTGGGGACATTGGCGTCAGGACGCGCAGGGCTTGGCTGTTACCAGAAACCTTGGTATGATAAGGCCCGAGGAAAGGGCAGGCGTCAACTGGTCCAAGAAGAAATCCGAGCAGGGGTGGAGGAAAGACGTATCAGTAGGATAGTGGGGATGTGACAACAAGGGGTGTGGACTCAATGGGAACAAGCAATGGACCGAAAGATCTTGTGGACTGAGCTGTGGAAAGCAGAGCCATACCGGATCCAGTTCCTTATCCAATCAGTCAACGATGTCCTCCCCAGTCCATCCAACCTCTTCTCGTGGGGCCTGAAAGACACCCCTGCATGCCTCCTGTGCCAAAAAAAGAGGATCCCTGGAGCATATATTAAGCTGCTGCCCTAAGGCGCTGGGAGAGGGACGTTATCGGTGGCGCCACGACCAGGTGCTAAGGGTAATTGCTGGAACAATCAGCACCGGAATCTCTCTTAGCAAGCGCCAGCAGCCAGTACAGCACGCAATCAGATTTGTTAAGGCAGAAGAGAAACCACAAGGGAGCAGGAACTCAGCGGGGGGACTTCTAGCAACAGCTCGAGACTGGCAGCTAAAGGTTGACCTGGGAAGGCAGCTCAGATTTTCAGAAACCATCGCCACGACCACACTTAGGCCTGACATGGTCCTATTTTCGGAATCATCAAGGCAGGTGGTTCTACTGGAATTGACTGTGCCCTGGGAAGACCGAATGGAAGAGGCATTTGAACGGAAGAGGGCCAAGTACGAGGAGTTGGCAGGTAAATGCCGTAACAGGAGATGGAAGACGCCAGATGCCTCCCCATTGAGGTTGGCTGCCGAGGGCTTGCCGGCCAGTCATTGTGCAGGGCCCTCAAGCTCTTGGGAATCAGGGGACTGCACAAGAATAAAGCCATCAGGAACATCATGGATGCCGCAGAGGAGGCATCAAGATGGCTGTGGATCAAAAGGGGCGATCCGTGGATTACACAAGCTACCTAGACACAAGTCGGGGACTGATCACCCCTGGCTGGGTCGCCTGGGCGAGGGTGTATGATGTTGAAAGACCCGAAACACCCGATGACCCCAGGTAACATCACTGATGATGTGTTTAGGGTGCACCTGGAAGGTGTGTCAAATTAAATTAGGTCCTGTGGTCTGGGAAAAAAAAGCATAGATTAAATACACTCTCTACAGACACACTCCAAAGCGGAGGTCATGTTTTGAGTGGCATTGAGTGGAGTTCTGACTCTGCCTCTGTTCTCATTGTCAGTGTGCAATCAGAATGCAGTGAGCCTAAAAACAAAAAAAAAAAGAGCGCACAAGAACACAATAGATTGGCCTAACGACAGAAGAAAGTACAGAAACCTTCCTGTCACAGTTCTAGTTTCTGTTATTTAGAGACCTTTCAGTCTAATTGATTTCCTTTTTAAAAATTTCAAATTCTAACTCATAAGCACAGAAATGCATTTATGAATGTTAATTGTATAAGGAAATATTGTCTTAAAATCATGAATTGAAATTTAAATACTCATCAAAAGAATCGTGATAGTATTCTATCTATCTATACCTGTTCTGCATTAAACTAGAATTGTAACATCTGGAATAACAAGCAAAGAATTGAGAACTGAGAACAATGAAAAACAAAGCTTGAGTAGGGGGAAATCAAAGTGCAATTTGAAAAAGAAAAAAAAAAGTAATTTTGCTATTATTTATTTATTTTTTTGTAACATTTTCTCTGTCTCTTCAGTTGTATGATTCACAGCTTAAATGAACGTGTAAATGCTGTTTTTAGTGGCCTCCATGTTTTCAGAATTCAACACTAAGGCCTGCAGTGTGAACATAGTTAAAGACCACCCTACCTCAGCTTAACTGAGCCATAGGAATCTAACAGTTGTGTGCTGGCTAACTCCAAATTCCAGTCACACATCTCCAGAATCTTATGACACTCCACCCTTGTCTTCAGGCCCAGACAGAAGAGCTGCTCCACCTGGGCACCAAAAGAAGGGAAAAATGGATCAAAGTAATTTAACTCATTAGGTCCTCCAAGAACATTATGGACGCACTTCCAGTCTCTGTATAAGTAATGTGCCAAAAACAGAGGAATAAGATTTACAATGTATTTTTGTGTCTGATTACTTATTACAATTTGATTACCGCTAACCAGCCAGTGAATCATGATTACTGTGATGACTGTTACCTTCAAGTAGTGTACAGCCTTCTGTACATTCCAGCTGTGATTCTGTAAAGCCGTCTGACATTCTTCAATCGTTACTCCATGGACAGCCTCCTGCACCTAAACAGGGCAAATCCAATAACTATAAATCCATAGACAGTCCTTGAAGGAGTGGCTTTGGAATAATCAGAGATAGTAAAGTGAGTTCTGCAGTGCAAATCAACAGTGTATTTAGCTTTTGACGTGACTGAATCAAGTTAAAATCTGTACATGTCTGCAAATGCAATAGCATTGTTATTTGCACTGAGTGCATATAGCCTCTTCCTATAATTGCCATTATCTTCTGCCATCTTGGATACTTTTTCTCATGGAGCTTACTACTATACAATCTGGGATCATCTTCACCCAAAATGATTGTTTAGATCAAGCAAGTAAGCCTTCATGATGGACAGTTTTTGCCTTAATGGAGTTATCCATGTAGAAAAGGTAGGTTTTGGAAAACTATGATCAGAACTATGGTACGCCTGCATGCCACAATATAAATAAAGGATAATTACTCTGGTCACAAAGCAAGTTCCTACAATTAAGACACCACATAGTCAGCCAAAGCCACTTTTGAATAATTCTGCCATAAAAAGCACATGAGAGCTTATATCGGATGCACAAGTTTCAAGAAAACAACCAGTAATAACATGGATCGGTTTAATATAAATCTCCAAATCTCTTACCAGTTTGACTTTGTCATGGTTGCTGGTGCTGTCAGCCCTGTTAAATGAGCCATCAGAGCTTACTCGGCACAGGCTGAGAGAGTTCTTCAGCCCCCCTCTAAATCCAGAGCCCGTCAGACTGCTGCTGTTATTGGAGGAGAAATTGGACTTGAGATCCCCTTGTTGATGAACCATGGGCTTGACAGTGGCTGTGTTTACCTGCTTCTTTTCCTCACCACTCTCTGCCTCTTTGAAGAACTTATCGTAGCGGTCCAGATATGGAGGCCTCTCAGGCAGGAGGTAGTAGTGCGTGTTGCTGACCTTCTTGCCATCACGTACGATAGGCAGAATGCAGGGCCCTTTGGCTGGCTCCTTATCTTTGCCCTGTGCCTGGATGACCTTGGGAGCAGCATATTTGGGATCGGAGGCAAAGCTCTGAGTGGTTGGCATTAGTTTAGCAGGTGAAGTGGAGAGGTAGGATGGGCCATAGATGGAGGAACCTGAGCAGAGGCTGCTGCGAGTCTGAGGGGAGCCCACGTGCGGACTTGGCGTGCGAGAGCCTGGCTGAGAGAGGGGATCTCGAGGGGGAATCTGGGGTGGACGCTCCTTATCATCCTCATTTCCAGAGATTGGAGACAGCTCACCAGACCAGCGAGCATAATCGCCACCTGCACGTTTGACTGGACGGGGTGGTATGGGGATACGTGGTGGTATCTGTGGTTTGTCCTCAGAAAAAGTTAGGACTATCTGGCGGTGTGGCTCCAGACCGGGGCTGGTAGAGCTCACAGGTACATTGAGGTGCCTCATACACTCCTGCTGCAGCTCTTGGAAGATCTCAGCAGACTGCGAGAAGGTGCTGGCATTGCTCTGCCTGCAGGGCAAAAATAAATTGTCTTCTACATGAGGCTTACACTCTCCAGTGGGAGTGCAGGACATACGTGGAGAGCATAGTTCATCAGCTCCTCGTTCTGCACTGTTAATGGAGCTCACTTCAAAGTCATCCTCATCTTGTGCTACATCATCATAGGCTGGGGGTGGAGGGAGGGGCCGGGCATCCCAGTCCACCACTGGGGTAGGGTGAAGGGGGCGGGGTAGAGAGCGTGAGGGGCTCTGTGGAGGAGTTCTGTCTAAAATGTTCTCTGCTTCAAGTGCCAGTTTAGCCAGGGTTGGGATCTGAAGCTCCACCACAGGAGAGGGTGAAGGTGTGGCCGTTGGAAACTCTTCTCCAAAGTCTATGAGAGAGACTTCTGTGGGAGTGCTGCCCCCTGGAGTCCGCACACTGTATGTGGAGCGATCACCTAATTTGGTAGCACAGACCCAGGCAGCTGGTTTGAGCTTAATGCCCTTCTTCTTCAAAGAGAGCTGCCGAAGGCCTGATGAAGTTTGGTCCTCGTCCTCAGCAACAGCATCGTAGGAGGGTTCTAGTCACATGACAAAAAAAAAAAAATTGTAAACAAATGTTTGCTGAAATGTCTGTTGAGCTTGAAATTGTAATTGTAATTTAATGACAGGAACTGTAAAACAGAAGAAATATTTTTCGGGGTTAAAATATAAAACACTGAGCACACATTAGAACAGTCATGTACTGTAGGTACAGTATATCTTGCATTCCTCCAGAGAAACTAATGAACACTAACATGTCTCATAGTGTGTCTAAGCGATTCTATAAAGGTCTAGGTTATGTAGGTTAATATGGTCTCACTGAGACGGGTAACAACTGCCACTGACATGAACAGAAATGCTAACAGACAGAAATCTTTGGCTTCTACATACAAAAATGGTGGTTCAGTCTTCAACTACAAGGGTTTGTGACACTCCTGCCGGTATCTACAAATTATTGTTTGATCTCAAACTAAATGTTTTTGTGAAAAATAAAAAGGACCCACTTTATATTAAGTGGCCTTAACAACTATGTACTTACATTTAAATTAATAATTTGGTACAATGCACTTATTGTGTACATACATGTTTTTACATTGTACTTATATTTTAAAAATACCTGCATGTAATTACATCTGTAATTAATTTCTGTAATTACATTTATAATTACACAGTTGACCCATCCCTTACACCTTAACCCACCCTTAAACCTACCCATACCAACAAACATTTCCCTAACCTTACCCATATCCCACCTCAATAGCAGCAAAAGTGTTTTGCAATACAATATTAATTTTTGATGTAAGTACATAGTAGTTAAGGCCACTTAATATAAAGTGGGGCCAATAAAAAAAATTTAATAAAAAAGGAAAAACATGTAGTACAACATGTAGCAACATAGTTATGTCATCATTCAACTTTCAAGTCAATGAAATGCGGACCAGTTCTTAGAGAGGTTTTTAGATCACTTGCAGAGTAGCAGCTCTGTAATCAGCATCATTTTGGTAAAAAAATGGATATTATGGGACCGGCTGTTTACCATACGTCATGTCAGTGCATGAGACCACAGCAAACGCATGACAAACAGATAACAAAAAAACTGGAGCAATTAAGAAAGAACCAGAGGGAGTGAAAGAGCAAACACAAATGCATACAATACAGATGTGCTGTACCTTTGAAGATGGGTGCTAGGAGAGAACAGAGGGGGCATGAGCAATTTTAAACTGAACTGAGGATCCACACTTACTCTTAACCAGCAAAGGTGGCTGAGGGGGCCGAGGGGGAGGCTCCTCTGCAGAGCAAGCACGCAAGTTAAAGATAGCATATGCAAAAAAAGCAGGTTGGAAAAAAAAAACATAAGAACAATAAGTACATAACAGAGAGAGAAGAAAGAAGCATAAAGCATGAGGACCTGTATTAAAGGTTTGAGAGGTTGGAGTTATTTTTTTAATCAGTAGTTTCAAGTCAGGTTTTGGATTACAAGGTTCCCACACTTTTTAACCAATAAATTACTTTCCATAATTTATTATTTCTAGATAAGCATTTAAATGATTTAACTGATTTGCCAGTAAATCATTCAGACCACTCTCAGATAAGTAGTTTACTTGTTTTGTTCTAAATGGAGAAAATCATTCAAATGTTTCTTCCACTTAGTTACACTCTTTTGTGAACTGTCTCCTCATTGGTCACAATGTCTATTAACCATTTCTGTTCTGGGTTTTAGCTCATAGCGGCATTTACAAATTTGAGTGAGAAGAAACATTTCTTATCAATAAAACAGTTGTGTTGCCTAATATTTTTGTTGAATCTGTGATACATTTTTTTTTACATTACATGATTTCTTCAGGCCTGAAAGCACAATTTTAAAATACCTTAACATTCTAGTTTTTCTATGACCATGGGAAGCATGTTTAATAATGTTTGCACTTTACTAATTGAAAGACGTGCTCACTCTTAGCACGTCCAGGGAGTTGAGTTGGTCTGGCAGAGTTCAGCTCCAGCCCCAGCACATCTGGAGGATCCATGGGATTCCCAAGATAAAGACTGCAAAAGAAACAGAATGACAAAAGCATTTAGCAGCCCATCAGTGTATATAGGAGACCATTTCTTAGACCTAAGTTGAGAAAAACAGGCTCTGGAACTCTGCCAAACGAAGATTTAATGACACTGTACAACCAAAGTAATAAAAAGACATTTCAGATTTTAACAGCAGCCCTTATATTTCTGGATGTTTTATGGAGGTATTTACAGCTGTGATATCAGTTGATGCAGCCAAGTTTATGGCAGAGATAGAGTGTACTGTGTTCTACTGCCACCTTGTGCTGATGAAGCAAAGTGCTTATATGCGGTCCTCGTGTGCAAAGACTTGGGCTGTGGCTTCATGTTAGTGAATGTAGCAATTTACTTATTGGCCATGACAGAAGTAACTGTCCATCCAGTGGACAGGCCCTCTAGTATACACAGTTACACTTTGCATGCTAGTCCTCACTACAAACAAACAAGTTAGGTATTATTTCCTCATTCATCTCAGGGAGCCCTACTCTGATCTGTATTAATGTGGCATTTATTAAAATATGCTGTAGTTTTGGGAGCAGCTTATTAAAAGAGAAGCGGGGTTCTGTGGGAAGTTAGCAGAACATAAACATGTTTTGTGAGATCACTGGTTACATAACACATAAAAACCAACAGACATGCGTTTAAACAAGCGATTGACTGATACATCGGTCAGCCAATGGTACAATTAATCAGCCAAAGTTAAGCCGATAATTGACTGTGTGGCCAATAAATACTTAAGCTCTCAAAAATGAACATACATAAGAATAGAGCCACTGTACTCCTTAAAAATTGCCACTAGCATTTGAAAAAAAAAAAACCACTGGAGAACCATCAATTAAAACTCATTATTTCAGAGAATACAATAAAAACTACAGAAATTACAGAATGTACATGTGAGATTACATTTAAGAGACTCACTCATCGATCCTGTCAGGAAAGCCCCAGCAGCAGTGAGGGTTAGTGTCTCCATGGCCCGTGTGAATAAAGCTGTTCTTCATGAATCTATAAGTCCCATTACATTCTATATAAAAGCTCACCTGCCCTCTATGATGGTTATGACATCATTCATCTGGATTTGAAGCTTGTCAGGTTCATCAAAGTCTTGCAGGGCCCTCATGTCTGTAGGCATGGTCTCCACTAGAAATTCCCTTAGAGCCACAAAGGTGGGCCTGTCATCTGGTTTCTGAGCCCAGCACTGCATCATGACATTATAGATGTCCTGAGGACAGTCCTCAGGCTTAGGCAGTCTGTCACCCTCTTTATCTATTTTGTGGAGGATCTGTCACAAACACATATTTAATTTTTTCTTATGATTTTCTTAACCAGTATACAATAATAGCATGATCACTTAGGGCTGGACGATATGGCCAAAATTGATATCACGATATATTTAAATGCCATCGAAACTTTTCTGAAGACAGTCGGTTCCCTTCAGAGATACATTCATATAAAACACCCGTGCCGTGTTATGATTTTGAAACGTGCAGTGCTCATGTTTATTCAACGAAGTCAAACGGCACAAATAAATCAATGTATGGGAAACTGGTCATGTATATCGAAATATCGGAAATGTGTTTAAAAATCATATCACCGTTATTGAAAAAAATAACAGCCATACATCGCGATACATATTGATATTGAATTATTGTCCAGCCCTATGATCACTATTCAGAAGCAAATGCAATATTAGGCTCAAAATGTCTTGATTTTTGGGATTACTGTCAAATATCAAAGCTAGTCTTTCATTAGGCAGATGTTTATGACTAAATGGAAATTCAGAGTGTACCTGACTACCATTTAGACCCAGCCATGGCTCCTGACCATAGGTAAACATTTCCCACAGTGTCACACCAAACATCCATGTGTCTGTTGCGTGAGAAAACGTGCGTGTCTTCAAGCTCTCTGGGGCACACCTATGTAAGAAAAAAACACCATGCAGAAATTAGGTCAGTAGAATAAAATGCCCGTAAATAAACAACCCACCAAGTGGAAAATGACATGAGGATCATGCACAGTTCAGTTAATCCAATCAAGGGCCATAAACAATGACCTCATTCAAATTCAATCTGAATCCTAAATTCTGGCCTGTCACTGCATACAAACAAAACCAACCAAATTATTTAAAGCTCTCCGTATCCCTTCTCGACAGATTCAAACCACATGCAAACAAACTTTTCAATTGTAAATATATATTCAGTCTCTCCAACCCTCTCTCTCACCAGGCAAATGGGACTTTGCGATGCTCTTGCATGACATAATGGTCATCATTCTTAGGCAGCGCCCTCATCAGTCCGAAGTCACCGATTTTGACCTGCTCACTGGAAGCCAGGAGGATGTTTCTGGCGGCCAAGTCTCGGTGGACAAAGCGCTTGGACTCTAGGTAGGCCATGCCATTAGATATCTGGATGGTGTACTGACACAAAGTGGAAATGAGGAAATGGCCCAGGGTCTTTCGCAAGCGATCCAGCATGGAGCCGAGAGGTGCAAGCTCAGTCACCTTAGAGAAAGAAGGGTAATAAAGAGGGTAATTTAGAGAAGGGAAGCAGGGGAAGAAGAGGGGCATAATATTACGTTTCATTTAATTTAATTTTCAACTGAAAAACTGATTTGGCAAGAAGCATCTTGCTGTCAGAGACAATGAACACTGCCAATCAGGAATAACTAGAGAAGTCAGTGTCAGCAAATGAGTCTAAGAGAGCACGCAAATGTCAAGCCTTATTTTAGCTCAGCCCTGCCTTCTCAAGACGTTGATACTTTAGCACCATGTCTTTGCCTCCAATTTGATGTAGATGTTAACACGCACACTCACTCACCATCTTCATGGGGTGTGTGAGGACGACTCCATAGAGACGAATGAGGTTCTGGTGGTCAAGAGAGTGCATGGCATTGACCTCACAGATGAAGTCATCCAGAGCATCTGGTTGGTTGAGCACGTCCGTCTTCAGACACTTCACTGCCACATTGAGCTGAGGAGGACATGTTGAAAGAACAACTCAGACAGGAAATCAAATTCATCATAAGTCCCTGCACGAGAACTCATCTGCCTTTGCTGGGGAGAGCTCCCAGCAGCTGGACTAGCTTGTACACATCACAATCCCACACACACTAATGACCCCCTCTGAGACCTGTGTCTACACTGTTGCTGGTCATCACTGAAGTTCAGAGCATAATCGCAGAGCAACTTTATTCCCTGTGCTCAGCTTGGACTCTGGCTGAAGTTCCACCTTTTGGAAAGAAATCATTTAACATCTGCCATTACTCTGCCTAAATTATGACCAGACCCGTCTGCATTACTTCATGAGTTTAAATAGATTTTAAATGGTTAAATAGGTTTTTCATTTTCAGAAAGAACTAAATAGTGCAAATAAATGGCATCTTTCTGCATGCCATCCTTCTGTAAGTTCAAAGCAGGTGTCAATCAAAAAATGTTTTGGGAAACTACGTATGAATTTACCTGGTAGTGTAAGTAATATGCATACATCGTTAGAATGTATTTGACACTATGTTGTCCACCAGTTTCTTCTGTTGTGTAGGATATTTTCTTCATCTGCTTAATTGCCTTGCATGTGAAAACTGATCAAGTCCAATTCAAGTCAGAAAAGTAAAAGCACTCTACTCAGATTTTTTTATGTGATATGCATGTACAGTGTAGAACACAAATGCAGGACAAGTATCGCATTGAGGGTCAGGGGTTTGTTCAAATCTTCATTTCTATTTTTGAAAAACAGTAATAGTGATGCTTGCCTTAAAGCAGTGGTCTCAAACTCAATTCCTAGAGGGCCACAGCTCTGCACAGTTTAGATCCAACCCTAATTAAACACACCTGATCCAGCTAATCGAGGTCTTCAGGATTACTAGAAACTTCCAAGCAGGTGTGAGTTGGAGTTGGTTGGAGCTAAACTCTGCAGAGCTGTGGCCCTCCAGGAATTGAGTTTGAGACCACTGCCTTAAAGGCTATAATCATTAAGTTGGATGAGGGTATTTGAATGTAACATGTATGAAAAGAGCAGTTGACATAAATCTCAGCTCGGTCCTCACATTTTTCTGTATAGCGCAATGAAGCAGTGTTTGATTTGCACAGATGGCCACAGGAAAGATGTTCCCACTCAAGTCCTATGTGGAAAGAACCCTTTGGTGTGCAATACACACTATCACTACAGCCTCCGGCTCAGTTCACATGACATCTGACCCCTCATCAGGTCATTAGAGGCCCATCTCTCCCACAAAGCTCCTCTGGAGAACACAGCTGCTACAATGACACATAGAGATCAGCCCTGAAACAGGATGTTCACAAGGAGCCCTGGCACACTTTAAGGGAAAGGTGGGACCACAGATGCAAAGTGTCTGAAAGCTATTCCTTTGTTGATCTCAGTTTCTGAATGTAACCAACAATGTTCCTGCCAAAATGTGCAATTAATGGCATTAATGGTCACACTTTATTTTAAGGTCCAATGCTCGCCATTGACAAACTATTAACTACGGCTTTTGCCTCAATAAACTGCTAATTTGTTGCTAATAGTTAGCAAGGTAGTTGTTAAGTTCAGGTATTGGGTAGGATTAGGGATGTAGAAAATTTCCAACAAGAATATGTGCTTTATAAGTACTAATAAACAGTCAATATTTTAATAATAGGCATGCAAATAAGCAACTAGTTAATAGTGAGAATTGGTCCCTTTAACTAAAGTGTTACCTCAATTTCTGATTTCAAGTGTTGGAGATTTAAAAAAAAGATTAACAGATAAACATATCACTAAAATGTCAATGGTACAATCTGAATCCTCATCTTGAGTACATCCTAGTTGCATGACTGAGATGGTGGCTGAATTCTGCATCTGCAAAGCTGGTGTTTTTAACAAAGCTCCCTCTGTTTTTCCAAACACTTTAACCTTTCTCTCCTCCCCCACTCACCACTAGAACTCTGAATGATTCTGAATAAATTCACAATCATGATTTTTTTTTGTGATTCTCCCATAATTCTGATTACAAAATGTTCATGACCATATATATTAATTTGAATATATTTTTTTAATTGAAAAAATATGTCAATGTCTCATTAATAAAGACCTGCTTTTATTGAAGGAAGCAGCATTTGTGAATGAATCTCTGAATGAATGATTCCATGACAAATACATTTTTTAGTCAAGTTGTTGCCACCTCCTGGCACACAACACAAAGAATCAAAATAATTTTAAAAGATTATTAACTCTATTTTGAGCACTGCTGTAGATTTCAATTAACACCCAAACTATATTTTTTTTACCCCAGTACTTCCGTTATTTTGTAACAGAAAATTTTTGTGTAATGTTTATAACACAGAAATAATGATAATGTGTGCTATTTGTGAAGCTGTTTCACGCTGTACATATTCATGGCAGCTGCTCTCTCCTGATCAGCGACAGCACGAACAAAGATTTGAATGTTTTACAGTGCCAGCATCGATGTAGCATGAGCAGCATGTTAATAAATGACACTGGCTTCACACTCAGAACAGGCTTATAAGACAGCTGAATTGTTGTCATTTAGGAATAAGATCGCGCGAGTGTTTGAGTCGAGATCGCAATCTTTTAACAATTAAGTTTGCAGGTCTACTCACCACTTTTCCATTTGGCGTGAACCACTCTCCGCGCTTGACAACGCCGAAGGAGCCATCGCCCAGTTTCTCAAAGAGGGCCAGGTCTTTCTCACTGATGAGACAGGTGAGGGCCTGCTGCTGGCCATCCACTGGAGGAGGTGTGGCGGTGAGTTTTCGGAACGTACTGGCCGGCTGGGGATTGAAGTCTCCTTCTGGTCTCTTGCCACTGAACACCTGAGGGATAAACAACAACAAAGTCAACATCTAGAGGTGACAAGTAAAAGCCCTCAGCAACCTATGTGCACAAACAATGTTTTAATTGTGTGCAGACAGAACTGCATCAAATGTGTACCAGGAACTTGAGGACTCCTTGGACAGTCTCTATCCCATTACGGTAATGATATGTGCTAACGGAACATCCCAAAACCTAAAAGAAGGACAACAGTAGAAATCACAATAAAAGAAAGGAAAAAGAGAGAGAGAGAGAGAGAGAGTGATTCCACGAAGAACTGCTCTTTCTAACTGCTTATCGGCTCTTGAGGCACTTTGTATGAGGAGCCTGTGGGTTGGCCAAGGAGAGCTGAGCTATCAAGGACCAGAGTGTGGACATTTTAAATGCATTTGCTCCTTTACGCTTAAGGAAGATTACGGAAAACAGTCTGACACCGTGGTATAATGAGCACACTCGCACCCTAAAGAGAGCAGCCCGGAAAATGGAGCGCAGCTGGAGGAAAACAAAACTAGAGGTATTTCGTATTGCTTGGCGGGAAAGTAACCTATCCTACAGAAAAGCATTAAAAACTGCTAGATCTGATTACTTTATTACGTCTTAAATTGATTTTTCCGTACTGCTGGTTCGTCTGGTCAGAGGAGAACTGGCCCCCCGACTGAGCCTGGTTTCTCCCAAGGTATTTTCTCCATTCTCTCACCGATGGAGTTTTGGTTCCTTGCCGCTGTCGCCTCTGGCTTGCTTAGTTGGGGACACTTCATTTCCAGCGATATCGTTGACTTGGTTGCACAGAGACTATTTAAACTGAACTGAGCTGGATTCAATGATGAACTGCCTTTAACTGAAAAATGAGTGTTGACTATTGTCATTTTGCATTATTGACACACTATTTTCCTAATTAATGCTGTTCAGTTGCTTTGACACAATCTGTATTGTTAAAAGCGCTATATAAATAAAGGTGACTGAGGGAAGCCAGGGACTACAAACTCAAGGGACAAGGAGGATGGACGTGAACGGAAGGTGGAGGAGTGAGAGGTGGCCCTGACTTTAACCCATTAAAAATAGACAGAAACATCAGATTAGAGAGAGTGGTGACACTGCAAAAAAAAAAAAGAGAAAACAGAAATAGAGAAGGCCGGAACACAATGTCTGTATCCTTGAGAGTGAGAGCCTGGATTTGATGGACAGGCTGAAAATAGAAGAACTGAACTGGGACCAGAGTGAATATAGAGAATCTAGACAGAGCCTTGAACCCCAGACTACTGTCTGATAACCATACACATAGCAAACATATATTACACACTGACAAATGCCTCAATGAGTAACAAATCCAAACTCATCTTTCCATCTCGGTTCTGGACTTTCCATTGACATTTGTATACTGAGCCAATGATATTTTTGTTTCCTGACCCTCACAATAGCTTTTTATATTTTTACATCTTCATTAAGACATTAATTAGTATGTTTATTAAGCTGTTTCAAAGCGGGAATTGTTGCTCTGCACAATATAGATGGTTCAGGTTTTACTGTCTACATAATAATTGCCACCAAAACTCTGTCACAAAACACATTCAAACACAAAACTATATAGGCATCCACACATATTTGCATGAAAGCAACATGTGAAACAGGAGAACACTTACTAAGGGTAAGTGTCAACTAAAGCATGCCCACACACACTAACAGTGGAGTGAGGAGGCAGATTACTCAGTCTGTTCTCGATGCCAGGAACGGAAACAAACAGGTGTAATTTTAGAAAGCTCTCATCCTCTCAGGCCACTTCCTGTAGGCCCAGGCCAAAGCTGCAATTAAAGCCTCCACACAAGTGAGGAAATAAGTCTGTGTATGTGTGTGTGTTGGTTTCATTATTTGACATGTATGAAAGAGCTGAGAGGAGGCTAAGTGGATGGTCACATATCATCCATATCAAACTGTGTGCATGTACTTTATATGTGACTTTATAAAAGTAGTTAACATAATCATGTACACTTTCAGATGTTCAAAATTGTACCTTTAGGGGTACAAAAGCCTGACGCTTTTTAACATCAAAGGGACAACTCTATACCTTATCTACACCTAAAAGGTTCATAGTAGTACCTTAAGGTAATATTACTACTAACATGCACCTTTTAGGGTTAAATAAGGTACACTGTTGTCCCTTTAAGGGTACTGCACCAATGGCAAGCTGCTGTACCCAAAAAGGTAAAATTTATGCACATTTTCCTCCGGAGTAGAGGATATCTGTGTTTGTGCTTCCTTTAACACAAGTGTGCCATTTCTGGTGCCAAAGGTCAAGATGTCCTCATCCCACAGACAGAGGAATTTGCCCTACAAGCTGATGGTTTAGACAAGAGCAATCATTTGTCAATCCTGTGTGCATATCACTCCCACATCCACACTTCCTCTCAACACATATTGTAAATGAGCACACACACATACACAGTCTATTGTGTAAATAAAAGTGAGAGTAGGAGATTAATGACGTGGCAAGTCAGATGGAGCTGGAAGAGCCAGATTCATTCTATGGTCTCTCTAATTCTAGCCTTGGCTCTTTGTACACTGTTAGAAAATGAGATACCAGGAAGGCACAAATATACACTTAACACACATTCAAGAGGCAAACACAGAAACAAAACATTGTAGTGGTATTTTAAATATTAAAAACAGAGCAGTGCAGGCCAACATAAATACAAAGAAATTAATAAATGTGTCTGTCATAACTGCAAATGCACTAACTGCTGTTGCGGTTTACTCAGGTTAAAACCGACTCTGGCTCCAGTGAGGCCTTTGGTCAGCACCACCCAGACATCCAGCCCTATGAAAACAACTCTCACACTGAGGACACACTATAACCAGCCGTACAGAAACAGATCAAAGCAAAGTATACATTTATTCAGGTCAGTTTATTGTATGTAATAAAAATATTCTGGGCAAAACAAGCTGCTCCTTTTACAGTCTAATATAGCTCCTAGCTTATTTTTTTCTACACCAAACCAACATTCAAGAGTCTGACAAACCTAAAAACAGGCCTTTTCTAAATAAATACATTTACAAATGGATGCTATTTTTTGCCGTTTAACAATGTATAATATGCATTTTATTATTTATTTGTTTGCTCTCAAATGGCTTAAGAAGTTAAAAAAAATTGCTTCCAGGTTGACTCATAATACTAGTCACATTTGTCAACTTAAACCAGAGGTCCCCAGCTAAATATTCTGTTTTTGATATATATTTTGTTCTAGAGAATGAAATACATAAATGATTAAGAAAGCCAAAATATTAAATGTCATGGAAGAATATTTACTGAGTAATTCATTGCTTTTGAAGTAATTCACAATTTTCACCTGAGACTTGGAGTCAAATTACAAAGGGGTAAATTACTTCAGAAAGATGCCAACCTCATATTTTTCACAGAAATTGGTGGGTCTATTCTATTAGTAAAACCTATTGACTTTAGTGATCTTTTTTTTGCAGTATATGCCAATGTTTGTTTGTTTGTTTGTTTATATAGCACAGTTTAATACAATACCAGGTTGCCCAAAGTGCTTCACAATATCACAATAAAATTACATAAAAACAAACATGGTCACAAATAACAACACAAATCACATAACAACATAGGCACAATTTAGAATAACTAAACCTGCATCACAACAACTCCTCATTAGTCTTTAAATTATGTGCTTTTAACATAGCTTTGAAAACCGGTATTGAGTTAACGGATCTAATAGTATGGGAGAGGTCATTCCACAGTTTTGGACCGGCTCGTGAAATGTTGACAGTTCAAAAATGGGACAAAGCAATTCTTGCATTAAGTATTAAGGATTTTTTTTAAACACACTTTCTTATGGTATCTTACCTATCTTAAGGCCCTATAAGTTTTATTTCCAGAGATATTGGGATTTTAATGTGGCTACCTGAGATAATTTGTTTGATACACAGTTAAATTGTACAAAAACCAAATGTGGGTCACTTTGCATATTGCTTATACTTATTGCATTTAAAAAAGAATGTATGAAGAACAAATAAGTTTGCAACAAGAAATGTAGCTTGTTTCCCTTTGTCACAACAATTGCATACAACATACCCCTCTGGGAGCCAAAAACGTTGTTTTACAAAGTTTGCATGACTGCAACTCAAAGTATTAAATATATCTTAATATAATTTTAAGTTCTGGTTCCTAAGAAACGTTTCTTTTGGAATTTTCATATTTCATGCCATATATGGTTTAATTCCAGAGATAGTGGGTTCTCAATGCAGTAACATGTAGTTACAATACTGCATATTTGAACTCTTGTTAGCTTCAGAAGCTGTTAAAATGAACAAAATCCCTTCTTCCAAATATCCCAGAAACTGATTCAAATACAGAATCTTATGAGCAGGCTACTGAGAGCAAGTTAATATGCCTTAAATTGACAATTTCGTGCATTTTCGGCACTCAGACAGGATTGTTCAATGAAATTGTGGTGATGAAGGGAAACAAGCTACATTTCTAGTTTCAACATTATTTATTCCTCAGATAATTCCATTTAAATACAATAGGTATCAGCTTAGGGATGTAACGGTATGAAAATTTCTTATCACGATTATAGTGACCAAAATTATCACGGTTATCAGTATTATCACGGTATTGTTAAAATGTGCTGGAGATGTTAAAAAAGTACCGACACATAAACAACTTCACCAAGTTTTATATTTAAAAATCAACAAACAACAAATAAAATGACTTTTTGTTTGCATAATCACTAAAACAATAACATTACCAATGATGTTCGGACTTTAAATGACATCTTGACTGACAACAGTTTAATAGCATGTTGAAATATCTAATGTAAATGTTCAAATAAAGCTTTGAAAAAGTTTCATAAAAAGGTAAACCTCACATTTCAGCCTTTAAATAAAGAAAAGATATGTCAAAATGATAATTGATTAATAAATGATTATAT